ACCCGACAAAGACGCCGGCTGAGGTTGGGCCGATCACTACGGCGGAGGATGAAGTGCTGTCGCCAGAGGACATCAAGAACTTCCGGTCGGCTACGGCTCCGGTTCTTTACCTTTGCAGGGAAACGAGGCCGGACACTGCACACTCAGTGTTGGTGCTTACTACCAGGAGCACGGCGAAACCGGGATCGAAGGCGATGGCCAAGCTGAAACGGCTACTTCGGTACCTAAAGGGGACCACCTCCATCGGAATCACGTACAGCGAGAATGCCGAGGATGGCGACAAACTAACGGCGTACGCTGACTCGGACTTCGGAGGTGACCTAGACGACCGGAAGTCGACTACGGGGATCGTTGTGTTGCTAGCCGGTGGACCGGTGGACTGGAGGGCGACTAAACAACCCTCTGGTGGCCGTCTCATCGGTGGAGGTGGAGTACGTGGCGTTGTCCAAGGCTTGCCAACTCATCATCCTCTCCGGCACCTACTGAAGACTACATACCGTGCCCAGAAGGAGGCAACTGTGCTTTATGAGGATAACTCCGGGGCTGTATTGACTAGCCTTAGCTCCAAGATCACGCCCAGGACCAAGCATATTGATATCAAGTATCACCAAATCAGGTCGCTGATCCAGGATGGAGTCGTAAAGGTCGAGAAGATCGAGTCAGCAATGCAGAAAGCTGACAACTTTACCAAGAGTTTGGGTGCTGTGAAGTTCATCAAGAACCGCATGATGCTCCTAGGAGAATGATTTATGTCAGAAACTCAGGAGATGTGTATAGGAGGAAAATAATTCGCTGCTTGAAGGAAATGTATGGCAGCTACAAATTAACTTGATGTTGTATGTATGCAAGTACTCGTGAAGATTGTTGATTCGAGAGGACATTGGCGTTGTTTTGAGAGGACATCGAGTGAAAAGTTGTTTTGTGTACCAGAACGAGAACGCCGTAGTTTTTGGGAGGGGGTCACTTTTCCTCGGTGCAGGAACTGATCTTACTGCACGCAGTAGTCTGTCTCAAAGGACGAAATCCCCAATATGGTACCCTACCATTTTCTTCTTCGCCAACCTGGCAATTGCAACCGTCCACTCCTTTCCCCCACCTTCGAAAGGAAAAGGGTGGGTGGGCGGGAAAAGACCAAACCTATTCGCCGCTCCTTCCAGCTGGCACACCACTGAAGCCTTTTATGTGTCCACCTCGCTTCTTGTCCCTGCCTTGCTCTCTCTATAGACCAGCCTCATAAGACTTTGAGTGAACACCTAGCTTCGACAGAGTGTTCGAGGTGGTAGCTGCTCCCGTGCTCCCGTTCGGGAGGGGGGCCCATCCTTCCGTGGCCATTTTTGCATACCCCTAACAACGACGTTAAAATTCGACTACTTTCAATAAACCTTGATTTGTTTCCGTCTAGTCCTACAACAAATCTCCCCATGTTCGATCGAGCTCGTCTGGGTCGTGTACAGCGAACGGCAGCCGACGCTTGATCGTCTCGACTGCGCCCTACCTCACACGCCAGGAAACGTGTATGTGAAGTGCCTGAAGTAAGTGTACCCGTGCCCGTGGCAGCTTGGGAAGGGGGCTTGCCAAAAAGCAGGCAAAGGTTGAAACCGTACAGACTAGCAAGAACCAGTAGGTAGCCTTTCCGACGAAATAGTCGTGGTTTTATTCGATTTGCATGGAATGACAAGTGAATTGTTTTTTTCCAAGGTGAACCAAGTCATTGCAGAGTGCGCAAAGTGGCTCGAAGTTATTGAAGCCCTGAGAAATTTCGGCCCAGGTCGCTCCGCAAAAACGTGGGAAAGGTCAGGCTGCAGTGGATGCAGCACTACGGTGCAAGCAACAATGCCGGTCCCGTCTGGAACGAGCTCCGGTCGGTACCAAGGCTCATCAATAGGCGGGAGGCATCAATGGCGAAGACGACGAAGGGAGGAAGGAATCAACTCAGGCAGCTCAAGTCTGCCGAGGAGCGGGTGTTGATGTTTGCCAAGCTAGACCTTTGCGCCAAATGGTCGGCAAGAAGCAAGATATACTTCCGGAAGGACTCCTTCACTGGACTCGCCGAGGTTGACGGACGTCTCCGTAAAGTGCAACTGCTGCCAACTCACGTTTCCCAGCTATAATATAGTGCTTTCGTACGAAGAAAAGAGCATCCCAAGAAAGAAACGTAGGGAAGCTCTGGACGCGAAATGTGAGAGTGGGTTCATGGTCGACTGGACCGAGTTCATGGATTTGATGGAGTCGATCATCAGATACCCGCGTGCAAACTACTTTGAACTGGTGTGTGCGCTACCTTTGATGTCGGGGCGGGTTCTACCTGAGCTCCTCGGCGTAGCACATTTCTCACCTTGCGAAGGGAACACTCACGCAGCTTGCGTGTATGTATGCTGGCTCTATTGCGACCAGAATCCCTGTGCTGTGCGACAATGGAGAATGTTTCGAAGGTGTGGAGAGAATCAGAGGCATGAAGGACACATCCCATCTCAGTGCCGCAGAAATTAGTCGATGGTTCAGCAAATCGGCCAACATAAGGCCCAGAAAAATGTTACCAGAGAATGCGAGTGACCGGCACACCTTTAGTGATCTGAAAGTAGTGCAAGCTGCCGTTTCATTCAAAGTGTTCCAAGGACATGGGCTCGATTTTGGAGGGTGGGTCAGGTTGGCATGCGGACAATCCTCGCCAGCGTTTCAAAGGAAGAGCGCGACAGTCAAAGTGGATAGAGTCGAGGATCGCCTCTTAGGCCGTGGGGTTTGCAAAACGTTCAATGGCGTTTCGACAGTTATTGACGACCGTCGACAAAAACATCATGGCAGCAAAAAAAGTCACCGGGACAGATTTTACTTGGCGTCCTCCAATCAGCTGTCTCCATTTAACTTAGCGCCTACTTGGCGTCTTGCCTATTCTCGAGTAATGTTGGCAATTGTGCCGTTTTTCTTCTGCGCGCACCGCATTCAAACCAACCAGTTCAGAAACCGACACACATCAGGCGGGAGCCTGGGCGCTGCAACTGGCGCATACTAGACGCCCACACCAGCAGAGGCCTCTCTGGTCGCTGTGTACACGAAGTGCCGCAATGTCAATCCACGCTGAGTGTAGATGACGAGCACGCAACAGCGAGGAGAGAGGGGGAGATCACACAAACACGCACGCTCGCACACACACGGAGGAGGAAAACATGGAGGGGTGGAAGGCAGCAAAGGGTTAGAGCCAGATGACCTTCCCCAAAAGAAAAAACGTAGGACTAGGGAAGAAGTGCCCAGAGATTCTTGTCAAATCGAGGATCAGAGTGGTGATGGCAGCGAACATAAGGAGGATAATGGTGAAAGTACTCCAAAACGAACTCGAGTACAAGGTAGTAGCCTTGGTAGACACGTGCAGTTTTCTTCTGTAGCTGCTGTTTCTGTCTTTGATCGGAAGGATTTTTTAGCCTCCCCCATGCTGCCCCCCCCGGTGTTTGCCATCGGGGTTGGGTTTTCGTCGCTTGGCAACGACGTTGTAAGACAACCAATTCACTTCGTGAGCTCGGCAACCAGGTTACCGTTTTTTTTTTTTACCTCCGTTTTTTTTTTTTGGCGGTAAACATACTGGTGGTCGAGTAGATCATGTTGTGCGGGGTGGAGAACCCTCACTCCGCGCAAGGGGGATGATCGCACCACGTTGTGTTAAAATGGTCAAGCACCCTCGAGGCAGTTACACAGTGCTTACAACTGTCTCTGGAAGTGAAAGCACCAGAAAATAAATTAAGTCATACGCAGCTGTCATCCGTACGCAAGGAAGTAAGCACAAGATGCCGAACACCCTTAGCAGGATGCAGCGCACCCTTCATGCGACTCGCCGAATATCTCACGGCGCTTCGCGCTTGGTGATGTGAGAGCCTGGTCCGGTGAGAACCCGGCGTGCTCCGTCCCGGCTTTGTAGGGATGCGAGGTCAATGGTCTAACGACTACGGCATGCACAACCATGAGTACACCCTCCCCCCATGCTGCCCCCTCACGGGGTCCCACTTCATGGCAGATAGAAGTGTTTTGTGTTGTCAACCGCACTGAGATTGACGTATNCGAGGTCAATGGTCTAACGACTACGGCATGCACAACCATGAGTACACCCTCCCCCCATGCTGCCCCCTCACGGGGTCCCACTTCATGGCAGATAGAAGTGTTTTGTGTTGTCAACCGCACTGAGATTGACGTATTTTCATTGGTCAGCCGGTTAGCGCGGTCGATGCTAATAATACAAACACACACGCGAATATTTATGTCGAGCTACTGCAGCACCGCGGTCACACACGCGAATATTTATGTCTAGCTACTGCAGCACATCAGTACCCACACCCAGGATCCATGCATGCTTTGATATCATCTGCACGCCCGTCCTCTCGCCAGAACACTTCAAGTAACGTGACGATGAATGATGCTCTGGCACCTCCGCGTTGTTCTTTGTCGCTCTCTTGACTCCATCTATCGGTAGGTTCTTGGGGGTGAACACCCCACCCAACGCAATCGCCATCAATCATCCATCTCGACGCGTCGGTATGTTGACAACACACATGGCAGAATATATGCACGGTGATTTCTTTGCTGCCCCGGTGACGGCACCTCTGCTCTGGTGTCTCCTTTCCTTCATTGATTCATTGAGTGAGATGCAACATTTTGAAAACGTGTGCTCCGCAAATGAATGGGTTTCACCGTGTATTGGCGGGATTCGCCCGGGTAATTACAATCCTAAAACTCTGTCCCAGTACATTCAACTTTGCCAACATCATCGATCGCGTTGCCCCAACAGCTCCAAGGCGAAAAAAGTTTTGTCGTGAAATCGAGATTGTTTTCTAACCACTCATCACACAAGGAGGTAAGTACACACCGCTCCACCTGGGGCAGAAACCTTATATTACCAGCGAGACAACGTACCGAAGAGGCACCACGCGGGTTTTGACACCAACTATGGTCGTCAGCAACTACAACTACAGAGTAGTGGGACGAAAAATCACCAATCAGTCGTCAGCCGCGCGACATCCACCCGAAAGCATTATTCGGGCCGCGTCCTACTGCTGTATCCTTGCACGGATCGTTCATTATCAACGCAATCAACCCTCAACGACACCCACCCAAAATTCTACCTCTTCGGACCTGGTAATCTGTACCGGTGAACCGCGTGGACTCCTGTGGTGACGCCAGCGCAGAAGTCGAGTGCGCTCCCTTCAGATCGACGGTTGCACTGCGACCGTTTTTTAGGGAGGCCACGAGATCCAATGTCGTCGTCACTGCTGCTGCCACTGCTCTTCATAGGCTGTTCGTCGTTCTACGGTCAGTGTGCTACCATATCGATCACTCCAGGAGGCACCGCTTTTCAGGTACAGGCACGAAAGTCTTTACCTACCTGTCGATCGCATTTCGAGCGTCGATGGGTTTAAACCTCAGACCGGCTCGTTTGTCCGATGTGATTGCTCAGTGCCGATGTGCCGTTTCTGCCATTTCCAAGCTGCCCTGGGCCAGCAGGTAGTTTTACGCAAGGCTTGGTCTACAAACTTGCGTTTGATTACGCTCCTTCTACAACAATACTAGTATAGTCTGGTGTTTGACACGAACTTTCGGCAGAACCGGACGGAGAACAGCATTATCCAATAATAGCTATCTATGTCGGCGGGCTCTCGCCCTCCACAGCGGGTGCTGTGATGGAAGGCGAGCGCCCGCCGACATGAGAGAGTGGTCTCCTGTAAGTAGTGGTGAGCCTTTTTTGTCTAGACTAAGAGACAGGAGCAACGAACAGCGAATAGTCTCAAGTTGTCGACAAGAGAAAAGGATCGTTACGTTGGAATTCATTTTTGCAAGGTACCACAGTCAATCTTCGCCGTACAGAAGCTCCCTAACCATACATGTATCATCATCATCACTCACATGCAGCTTCACGCGGTATCGCGGGGCCATCGACAGCACAGGAGTGCGTGTTTGAACCATTTTTTTTTTTAGAAAGAAACCATCAACCATCATGGAGGCCTGAACTCTGGGAGAGCGGATGTGGTGCCACCGGAGGCTGGGTATTTCCTTGCGATGTGGCGAGAAACGTTATGCGTGACCGCGCGAACTCAATTAAGCTAGGGTGGTGCGAAGAATGGGCGAACCTTGATGACCTCATTTTCCCAGTCTCCCAAAAGGTTCATCGACATTCGCAGTTGTCGGGAGTCACAAGAGAAACGAACATGTGGTAAGAACCATGATGTGTAGTACAGTATTTCACAGATCCCTAGGATCCTATGTCTGTACTAGAGTTCCGTGTCTGAAAGCCCTTTTCACTATTTACACTGTTTTCTGCATAATATATAAGAAGCTGCATATCCTACTCAGAGTAACCCCACCCAGTAGACCGAAGTCTACACCGTTCCGGACTCGCCCCAAAATAATAATTCGATTAAAGTTCTGCACGTGCAAGTGCTGCACTACATATATATATATATATTAGCTGACTCAACGCGCTACTTGATGGCCTCAGGATGCTCTCGATGTGGTCAACCCTGGTGACGTCATCGAGCTCTCGAACGGAGACTACTGGGAAGATCTCAAGACACGAGTGAGTGGATGGCGGTGTGGCCTCGCGTTGGTGTTCAGGGTTGGATTTTTAAGACACCAGTCGCTACAGCAGTTGTGGTTACAGTCAGAGGAAGTAGTAGTTCCAGTCACAAGAAGGAAAGGTCGCTCTGTTTCACATGTACCTCGGACATTTGGGCAAAATGAATGAATAAAGTGCGCATGTATGCTACACGCTGAACCGTAGCCACAATGGGTCAGCCTGCGGGTCACTCACTATTTTGCAGGCCCCCTGAACGGTGTGGTCGGTCACGACAACAATGTCTCCGACAATGAAACGGGTGAGCTGCAAGCAGGCGTTCCAATAGTCGCACCCTGACATTCCGGCGGGGTGCAGGGCTAACGACGTCATTGAGAACCGAAAATTGTTCGGCGTTCACTTTGATGAAGCCTCACAGCAGTACTACTACTGTGTGTCGTGTAAACTGTCGAGGAAAGGCTGCTGCTACTGTACTACTGCTGTGTAGTCTAACCTGTCGGAGAGAGGCTGCAATTGAGCTTTGGACCACGGTCTCTTTGCGGCCAAGCTTGGCTAAGCCCATGCTTTCCGTTGTTGTCTCTTTTTACATTGTCATTTGTCGTGTAGACCGATGGAACGGCTGACATGCCCATCACCATCCGCGGCGCTGGAGGGACGGGCGACAAAGAAAACGTCGTTCTGCGCGGCGCTGGCACTAGCACCAGGGTATTAGAAATCAAGCACGACTACTACATCGTCGAGGTGCGGACATCGTCGGTTTCGGCGCGGGTGTACACTGTGTATTATGCGTTTTTGTTTTCAGCATCGACCGCGCTAACCGGCTGACCAATGAAAAGCCGTCAGTCTCAGTGCGGTTGAGAACACAAAACACTTCTATTTGCCATGAACTGGGACCCCGTGAGGGGGCAACATGGGGGAGGCTAAACTATCCTTCGGATCAAAGACAGAAACAGCAGCAACAGAAGAAAACTGCACGCGTCTACCAAGGCTATTACCTTGTCCTTTAGTTCGTTTAGGAGTACAGTCGTCCCCGCCTTAAAGACATCATTTTGAAAGACACTCCCCGCTTTAANCGCGCTAACCGGCTGACCAATGAAAAGCCGTCAGTCTCAGTGCGGTTGAGAACACAAAACACTTCTATTTGCCATGAACTGGGACCCCGTGAGGGGGCAACATGGGGGAGGCTAAACTATCCTTCGGATCAAAGACAGAAACAGCAGCAACAGAAG